AGAGAGAGAGAGAGAGAGAGAAAGAAAAAGTTGGAATACAGGTTTTGTCAAACTCCAAAGTAGGCACAAATTAAGGTGAAGCTCCCCAAGATTTGAACAATACAATCAGAACTAAATAGTTGTTTTATTTCAGAAATGGTCAACATTGCAAACTGTTGACAACCATTGATTAGTTTGATAGTTTGATGGTGAAACAGAACTTAACATACATTTCTAATTGATATCTAGTACTCCCTGGTCCATGCCTACCTTCTCACACATGTGCATGTCATGTAATATTTATTTATTTTATTTATTTATTAAATTTCTTTTCCGCCCATCTTGCCACATAAATTTGTATTTGTTTGATAAATATTTGACATTCATGTCTCAAAATTGCTCATTAATGCAGTGGTTCTCAAAATGTTTCTCTCAATTATCCCCTTTCTTTATCTTAAATAATGTAAAAACCATAACAAAAAAAGAACCCAGACTCAAGTGTCTCTATAGTAATGGCCTCAGACTGGATCCTTGACTTACAAACAAGCAATTACACATTGTTCATTACCTCAATTATCCCACTTTAAAAGGCTCTGCATTAATGGCTTTTGCATGTTTCTGAATTCCTTGCCATTTAATGGAATCCTAACTGCAAAGAGGCAGTATTAGTTTGGAAAATGTGTATGTTGTTGTAAGGTTTTCCACTTAGCCTCACAACTGCCCCAGCATTACTCAGGAATTTAAAAGAGCCAAAGAAACTCCTGAGTCGAGGTTTCAGCAAGCAAACAACTTTTATTTTGATCAAAATAGAGTTGGGTGACCCCTTCTCTCTTCATGGCTGGTAGAGAGATGAAGGCAACAACCAGAAAAGATGTCTTCCACCTTTTATACCTTTCCAGAACAAAAAGATCAGGTCTTGGTACTAGGCATAAGATGGCACAAAAAAATAATTCCTAGATGATGACTCACACAGCAACCCAGGCTCCATCCGTAACTCCTTTCCCCCCTCCCCTTACTGTGCTCTTTTCATATAAGCAATCACCTGTACCTAAAGCATGAAGCCCTTACTTTTCCAATATATATATATAAAGCATCTGATCAAGTAATTAACTACAAAATAATGATTACAAAATAACAAAACAATGATTACATGATAACACTATAAGTATCAATATAAAATGGTTACTATATATATAATAAATGCTAATGTCAAACTTAAACATACTAAAATCATAAGCACAATAAAATCCCTTCATTGTAATATTGTGCTGACTTGAGGATGGATATATAGCAGCAGAAAAAGGCCTAACCCAGATTTGTTGACCTTGCAACAACAACAATGGAAACATTTACCCTGTTTTCCATTTCAAGGGATTTCATCACAAAGCTTTTCTTTCTTTGAGTAGCATTACTAAGGTCAGATTACCAGACAGGGTGGGAAAAACTGAAACCTGAAGGAACCACCAAGTACAAGGTGTTTGAGGAGGAAAGACAGGTTGAGCCAACGGGGCTGTGGAGAGTGTGAAAAATAAAGAATTGAATATAGCATACAAAACATGTATGGCCACTATCTTTATTCCATAGGCATTGCTGCTGGCAAGTCCACTAAGTATTGTTGCTACAATACTTCTCTAAACTCTTGCTGAATTTGTCAGCCATGAAGCCATGTATTATTATATCAAATTTACATGAAACAAGTCATGGTTATCAAGTCAAGTACAGATTTGC